ATTTAAACATTGCATACTGTTAAGGTGCACAACATTATGGTTTATATATGTATATGCAGAGTGGTATTATTGCTAGAGTTATTGCCAACAGGGATCCCCTAGCCTCAAGAGTAGATGTTCTCTTAAATTTAAGCATAGTTTCCCATTGTCTTGCATAATACATGCTCAGCCACATATGTGTAAATAAGCATGTACATATGTACATATGTATGTTTGTTCTGTTCATACATGTTTGTACTTGTATAAGCATACCTGTGTGCATGTGTTTATTATTATGACTTATTTATTATTTATATGTTACTATTATGACTTATTTATGATTTATATGCATGTTTAAGATTATTACTATTTATTTATTGTAGAGGTTCCCATTGAGCAAACTGACAAGGCATCTTGCTGATGCATCCAACTAGGAGAGCCATAGCACAGTGGGAAGGGCACTTGCCTTGCAGGCAGCCAACTCGGGTTCAACTCTGGCACTCCATATGGCTTCAAGATCACTGCCAGGAGTAATTTCTGAATGCAGAGCCAGGAGTAACCCTGAGAATCACTGGGTATGAAAAAGAATTTTTCTAAAGAACTCAAAAATCCCCAAAATAACCTACCAGGAAGACTCTGCAGAGAACATGTTTTTGTAGAGGAAAAATATCAGTTTCTTCACCAAAGCTACAGCTAATTCTAAACAGAACATTAAGATTTTAAAGTTAAGAGCACATTGTGAAGAGTCAATTGATGTGACATTGTCAAACAAAATGACCTTTGGGCTTGAGAGGTTGGTGCTTGTAAGAGGAGACCAAAGTGTGCATCTTAATCTCAGTTTCCTTTGGGAATATTTTCTCTAATGCTGGCCTAGCTTTGTGTTCGCCTGTAACCTAAAGAACTGTAGTCTCTTGGGTTGAATGATTATTCTCTTTTTCTCCCTCCCCCCTCCCTCCCCTCCCCTCCCTCCCTCCCTCCCTCCCTCCCTCCCTCCCTCCCTCCCTTCCTTCCTTCCTTCCTTCCTTCCTTCCTTCCTTCCTTCCTTCCTTCCCTCCCCCTTTCCCCTTCTTTTCTTCCTCTTTTGATCTTCACAGAAAAAATAGCTTTTATTTTTCTGATCAGCATCAACTGTTTTTGAGCTATAAGTCTATATGTGTGCCCAGAATCCCAACCCATTAAGAGAAAAAGAATTGGATTTTAAGTTCTGCTCAGTGTGTAAATTATTTAATGCACAGGGATTTCAAATGTTCAACCAGAAAACTAAAGTTCAGCATTCAGAGTTTGATCTCAAAATGGCATGAACAATCCAATAGGTAAGCACAGATTTCTTCCTCTATATTCATAATCTCAGGATATTCTAAAGCTTTTAGCCTTAAGAAAATTTCAGCTGGGATTTGTATTTAACATCAAACTTATTATTTGCTTGGTCTGAAATGTATAGTAGGGACTGGGTAAGCTGGATAATAACAAGGGTTCTGAATTCTAATATATGGTTTGTCATATGATCTCTTTTTCCCTGTCAATACATAGTTTGGAAACATCACTACCACACGTTGTCATAGCTGTGGTTTTGGATCTTGAACCAAAGCCCTGTGTTTAAAGTCTCTATCCATCTCCATTTCTGGACTTCACTCAGGCCCTCCCTAAGCTCTCTTTCAATTTCGTTGGCTATGTACTTCAGTGAACTGCAAACAAACAGATCATTTTCCTGATGGTGATAGGGAGGTAATAGACTTTACTTCATTGCTTAGTGCCCCTCAGATATGCTTCCTACAAAACTCCTCAGCAGAACAAATATAGTTACTGAATCTGGTTACTGGTACACAATGAAATAATAGCTAAATAACAGAGTTACATGGTTATAATGTAGTTAAATCATGCAGCAAGTTGCACACAATAGAAAATGCAGTTAGGCAGAGAGAATGAAATTAAGGGTTAGAGGTAAAAGAGAGGATGCATCTTCAGATGTGATTTGAAATGGAGAGCAGACACCCTTGAAAGGACACAGAGATGTCACCAGATGATGCCTGAGGAAGCAGTTACCCTTGCCACCTAAGGCAAGACTGGGTAAAAACAGACGGAATTATCATATTCCACGGACTCTTTATCTTACTCTTGTACTTCCCTTCTTTTCCCTCCAGGGTTGGTCATCTTAACTTAGTCTTTATTATTTCCTCTTTATTGCTCTTTAAAATGTCTAAATAGCTGATTCTCTCTTAATTTATCCCAGCAAGCACTGTCAACTCAATGGCCAGTGTTGATAAATCATTCTTTTGTCCCAAATCCTCCAGGCTTCTTACTTCTTGCTGATAAGACTAGGTACTAATTTCTTAGCTTGGAATTCAAGACCTGGGTGTATACTTTGTTGATCCATACTTTTCAAAGTGTGTGCCAGTATGTCAGTTTCCCTTGGGAGTGGGGTGGAGCTACAGTCTCCCAGCCCAGTCAGATTTGTTGAGTTAGAATCTGCATTTCCACAAAGTCTTCCCAAGGATTTACATGTACAGAAGTTGAAGAAGTACTTTTATAGCCAAAATAAGTTATCAATATTCTCTCTGCTTTCTGAGCTTTATCCTCTTCCCATGGAATTCTCTCCCCTTTTACTCCATCTGTAGGGACAATTGTACTCTGATACCTTGGTACAATAATCTCAAATGTACCTCTTCTTCTAACATGCTTAAGTCAGGCAGAAAAACCTTCAGAATGCTTGTCAAGCTATTTGTAGATAATAAGAAAGTTTTATTTATATTTCATAATCAGCTACTTTAGGCCATAGAGTATCAGTTGAGTAGTTCAGCTAGTGCAAACTTATTTGGTTCAGAAAAAAATTAAAAAATCACCTGGCACTTCCCTGAAATCCTGCCTTTTAAAAGTGGTTATACAGAAAACATTACTAACTGCCCCAATATTTCTAATACACCCCATAATTTCTGGGTGCCTCCCTCTTCCTGGAGCAGTATTGTCCTCTTTGGGAAACACTAATAGTGGTTAGCTAATAACCCATAGAGAGACCACATGAAATGAGAAGAGATAATCCTCTATCTCCTTTTAAAAAAATTCCAATTATAAGACTTGAGAGATCGTACAGTGGGCAGAGCACTTGCCTTGCACACTTCCAAATAGGGGTTGATCCCCAGCATCCCATATGGTCCTCTGAGCTTTGACAGGAGTGATCCCTGAGTGCAGACCCAGGAGTAAGCCCTGAATGTAATACCAGGGCTAAGAGTCAAGATCATTAGTGATCTGTAGTTATGAGGAAACAGAAACTAAGTAGACCAAGTGAGTAGAGATGTAAGGACAGAGCAGATGAGTAGCCATGGTATCGATGATGTAAGAGCAAAAAATGGAGAGAATGATGGATCCTTAGATATACCCAAATTCCTGATGACTTTCTGATATCATGCCATGGGCTTTATAATAACACTTAACACCCACATCTTGAGAAAACTTGCATAAGTTTCTGTTCCTTGCCATGGAAATAGCTACTTTGGACTCCCCAAGTAGAAATGCTGGCTCTATCCCTAGACATTTCAGAGAACAGAGACCACATTCTTCATTCTTGTTGGTTGTTTCCCAGCCTTGAATTCTAATATCTAAAATGCTGTAAACACCAGTTATTATCCCTTTGTGATAAGATTGAGTCCTTATCTCGCTTGAACCTCTGGCAGGGTAGGTTCAGGTCAAAAGTAAAGATAGGATTAAATCAAGCTGAATTCCAGATATTATGTTGAAGAGTTCTAGGAAAGAAAGGGATTAACAAGGACAACTGAAATGTGAGTGGCCAGCATTTAGCTGAAGTCTTTGGCACATAGTACTAATGAAGGCAGAGTCATTTGCCAGCAGGTAATTTTAATACAAGTTGTTCAGTGTCGTGTTGGCAAAATCAGTTCTTCCAGGAATCTGATCTCAGTTGATGTTATTTTATTGTTAAAATAATTCCTTGCAGTTAGTGGAATATACCAAACAACTGCTTCCAGCTGGTCAGCAATCTTTCTTCTTAACCTTTAGTCTGCTCCAGGCTATTCCTACAAGTGATAGGACAAATGATGTCTGGAGAATGATGGGTCTATGCAGACTGAAGGAGACAGCTTCATTGCTTCTATTTGGAGCTCTGCCCCCCACTGAGGGTCAGGTGGATCTGTGCCTAAGTGCAGAATTGTATATGTAGTGGGGGAGGGTTGTGCAAAGGAAGTGATTCTCTGGCTAGTGTATCTTTTAGTGTAGGAGATCAAGTTGAGTCTGAAAAGTGTCATTATAGTTGTTTGGAAGAAAGGCAGAAAAGGAGGGGGACCTAATTTTACAAGTAGATGGGGATTTCTTTCCTCTTTCTCAACTCCCTCTTGGAGAACATCACGCTCCAAATCTGGAGGTTTCATCTGCTTTTAAGCTGGAAGCTTCTTCATTAATGGCTTTGTGACTCACAGGGCCCGGGTGATGGTTGCTTTTTCTGTGTATAGAACTATAATCCTTCTCAATTATCAAAGACATAAATTACTATTATTTCCTTACCAGATCGAACATCTTGCTTAAATATGTGAAAGAAAAATTGTTGGTTGTCTGGTGAATTTTCCTCTTGGAAAAACTGCCTATTCTTAATCTACAAGTTCAATGAAAGTTCAAAAGTTTATCAGTGCAAACTCTATATTCTAATAATTCATCAGCCAGCTTCTCCATCCACATTATAAGGCTCTACATTAAGATGTGTTTTGTCTTCTCTCTCATGTAAAAGTCATCAAACAGCACATTTCCTGGGCATATCACAAATACCTATTGATCATAATCAGAGCACAGATGGTAAGAGAGAGCTTGGCTGACACGCAGGCCCTCATGTCAATCACAGGAACAAATTGATTGTGACTCCCTAGCCACAATTCTCCTACCCCAGCAGAATTCCATTCAGTGCTGCCACTCAGGGAATTTTGAGCAGACAGCATTTCTGAAGAAGTGTCATAGTCCAAAGTTATTATAGTGGTAAACTTGATCACTGAGAAAATGGTGATTTTAATGTACTTTATACTTACCTTTACCACAGGAAGTGGATTGCTTCTCCAGTGTTAGAAGTCTCATCAATTTAAAATTTATCCTGATTTATGTCTGCTAATATGGAAAAAGAAAAATTCTGATTTACATTTTTTTCTCTGACAGTATGACATGCCATTAATACTTTGCTCCAACTGGGATTTGTTTCCTTATTCACTTTTTGAATTAATAATTTCATTAAAAAATTAAAGAGCTCATACATATGACCTCAATCTTCTCCTTTTGACTTGGTATAGCTATGTATGCTGAGGAATAATGTAGGAGGAGAGGGTTTATACCCCCTGATACTGTAATAAGCACTAAAATCCTCTGTGAGAGCCAGATAAGAAAGGGCCTTTTTCGATACTATCCATTACTGTCCATTACTTCACTGTTTCATACATCAAGGCTGCCTGGATAAGTTCAATAAGAAATGGGTCTGACTCCATCAGAGAAGAGTTTGGAATATGAATAAAGAAGTGACTCAGGGACATGAAACTGTCCTTATTCTAGTCCTTCCTCTAAAGCATCCATGTTTTTCCACATGGTGCTCGCTACTTGTCTTTTGGCCATCCTACACATTTTCTCTAAAACTGGTCCCTTCCAGGGCCCTCTCACCAATCAGTGGTAGTGGTGGAGGAAAGATTTTCTGTTACTTTTCATTAACCACCCAAGACTATTCCCTAGCCATGCTTGACTAAGAATGCATACGTGACTCAAGAGGAAATGATCTATAGACTGAATTTATCCAATCACATGCCTCCTTTCCAGAATTCAACTTAAGAGACACATCAATTGTCAGAATCAAAGGCATATAGGCTGAGTAGGAATCAAGGATCATACGGACTGCACATTCACTTGGGTCCAATTGTATTTGGATGAGTCAGCAGAGAAAGCTTATTTCTGAATACAAACAAGAGAGCAGGCTAGCACAGAGCTGAGAGACCTCAAGTCTCTGTTAGGAACAGAGGAAGTCACCCTGGCTGTGGGGTTTGCAGTGCCAGACTTGTCAAACTTCCTATGACTCAGGTTTCCAAACTCTTGTTTTGGGATACTCTTAAGCTTCCCTGTTATGTCTCCAAATAGATCCTGTTTCTCTTCAACTAGTTTGGTCTGTTCTTCATACCCAAGGAGGCCCTGGCCAGAATGCATCCTGTTAAATTCGGATGGTAATTTCAATTTCCTTTGCTTGCCTCATCAGCTTCCCAGGACTCTAGAAAAGTCATGGTTCTCTCTTATCTTTCTGAACACAGATCCACAAAAGAGGACCTGGGCTATTCCATAAATGTGCAGATCTTACATCTCTCCTTCAAAGTCCTCTACACACACACTCTCTCTCTGCTACTTGTTCTGATGATTGCTTCTGTTTTCTGGTATTAACCATTTATTCAAATCATTCTGCTTTATTCACTGTTCACTGGTTGATTAAGTACAGCTATGTATTTGTTCATAGTGAATTTTTCTATTGCGAGACAGAGCCCAATTTCATTCCCTTATATATGGGTTGGCTTTTGTGACCTGTTTTATCAATAGAAAGTGGAGAGATATGTTTGTCTTCTGATCTCAGGTCATGAGGAGCCTCATGACTTCTGAACGTGCCCTTGAGAATACTCTCTTAAAGCCCTAAGTTCCGAAGAAAGAATCCCTACTTCCTTGAAGCTATCATGCTATAAGAAGCCCAAAACCATGGGAAGGCAATGGAAGGAAGATGGAAATAGACAGGCAGACTAGTATTTGATCAGATAGTAGCAAATTAATGAGTGAATAAACCATCTCAGAAGTGAACCCTATATATTAGAGATAAATCACTTAGCTGAATTCTTGATTTGTTGAGACACAAAAATTATGAGTAGAATTAAAATTTTGTTCTGAGGTACTAAGTTCTGAATTAAAAATTAAAATTTTGTTCTGAGGTACTAAGTTCTGAATTCTAGTGATAACTAGAATATTTCAAGGTATCTCCAGGTGTTCCAGCCTTATAATCTTGACATCACTCCAGTTCAAGAACATCCTTGTCCTTTCCCTCCAGCTCTATGTTCCTATTGTTATCAGGGTAAGTATCTACCTTTTCAAGAGAATTTCTCTAATCATGTCTTTATGGGCATGTTTGGCCAAACATGACCTTAGGCTTTGCTTGTACAGCCCTGTGTACCTCTTTGATGTCTTTTAACTCTCGAATGCAAACTTCCCAAGGACAGAGCCTAAAACGTGTTCCTTTTGGGATTCCTCTGCCTCTTGACAGAATCCTGTAGTCAACGTATGATGAGACTCCTAAATATTCCTGTGTTGAAACTAAACAGATCTTATCACATGAAACCACTTTTAGATATTGGCAATAACCAGAGATTTGTCTTTAATTACATATTTTAATGAGGCACTTAGCTTTAACTATAGAGATACCTTACTTTCTAGTCATATCATACGTATAGACTTTAAACGTTCGAGGTAGTTGGAAGAAAGCCCCATTATGCTCAGAAAAAAAAAATCCCAGTACATAACATAATGGGAAGAATCAAGTGACAGAATAAAGGAGGTCAGTGTCAAATTCTACATTTATAGTGTGCTCCAATGGGGGTCAATATCTTTCAGCCACATCACCTCTTTATAAAACCTGTAATACTGGGACCTCTCCATCCACCAAAATGAACTTTCTTATGTCTCCAGGCCTTTTTTTTTTCTCTAATTTCCACAGATACTCTGGCTTTCCTTTCACATTCTTCTTTGCAGGGTTTAGGAAATTCATTAATAATCGATCTCTGCAATTAGGCAGAGTAAATTCAAGTTCTTCCCAGTCACCTCCCTCACCCCACACTGCAGCACATGAAGACAGAATCCACGCATGCTGTTAGCCTCAAACCCAGGGCTTTGACCATGAAGTTAACTTTTCTTCAATCAGATACGTATCACATCTTTCTTTGTTTTTTTTTTATGGAAATAATTAAGCTCTTACGTTCCATCTTCAAAGGAATGTTGTTTCCTTTGCTTCATCTGTCCATTTCCTATTTCATTCACATTGTGCCTATTACTTATTATTGCACGTGTACCATTCACTTATGGAATCATCTGATGTAAGATTTTTTTCCATTTTCCTTAATCAATCACCACATCAGCCACAGAGCAGGCAAATAAATTGAGAGGCAGAGGCAGAGCTTCTTTTTTTTTTTCTTTCCCCCTCCTTTTTTTTTTAATTTGCAAAAGAAAAAGAAAAGGGCACATTTAAAATGTTCTGCTTCTTAAAGAATTCTGTTTGAAAAAAAAGACTTTGAAGTTATTGCACTTCTCCCTAGAAATCGCAACCATATAATTCTAACTTTTTTTCTGGTCCCAGGCGCAGGGAAACAGGGAAACATTAGCCTCGTTCTATTCATGCTCATAGGTCGTGACTAAGATAAATAGATTTTCAAGAAACATTGATGTGGGTGAGCTCCAAGTGGGAGGAATTTCATGTTTCAGTCTCCCTGCTGAACACCTAGGATATTAGAGACTCCAGAAAGTTTGTGCTTAGCTCCTTTGAAAGGAGAATGTGGCTAAGGTCACAGTGTGATAAATTCCTGACACGACATTGTGAAGGAACAGGGAGCAAAATGAGCTGAAGTGAAAAGTTCAAACGCATGAGTGGTATTTCTACAAGTAAGAGGCAATTGAGGGCTTATTAAAGAGTAGCTTTGATAGAGGAGATGGCTGCAACCACATCTCAAACAGGAATGTGCCTGGGCCTTTTCTTTCTCTCTCGTTGTCAGTTATAACACCCAAAGCCAGCGTGTACCCACGCATGTACACACAGACGCGCACTCTGCTCATTTCTACTTAATATCCAATCTGTTGAAAACTATTTACTCTTCTGCATCAGGATGCTGCATTGTGACATATATCTTCAGTTCCTTAGCAACAAACTGTCGTGTCTCCCTTATGAAATTCTGGTCAGCTGAGGGGAGAGCGAATGCTGAGCTGGGAGGAGAAAATCCTTATTTTAATCACAAATGTGTGTAAGAGCTGGAAAGACAATATGAAAAGACAGGTCAAGGAAGCTGCGTTTGAACAAGTGTTTTTGATTAAGGTTTGTATCAGCACAGAAGTCCCTTTAAGTTCCCTTTTATTGAATAATTTCCTTTTGATCCTTGAGTAACTAAAAAAACCCCTAGCACTTGACATTAGCCTGGGACTTAGAGGTCTGTGTCAGATTCCTAGCCCGGTTGCAGTTGTAGCTGCCTCAGTCCTGAGCCTTTCTCTGAGCATCTGAACACATTCCTCTTTATTCCTTCCTCCTCTGCTGGATGGGGGCAGGACCAGTAGGAGATGCGGATGCTGGTGGAAGATGATATCCATTATCTCAAGAAATTGCTCCTGAAAGAAGGGTGAAGATCACCAGACACCGGGGTTACTAAGCCCTCCAACTCTTCTCTCCTTGATCTGTTTGCTAGGAGACAGAAAGAAATAATGTAAAATTTTTTTGACTTTGTGGAAACAACCAAACCATTGAGCAACATTAACATTCGAACAAATGGGAATAGGATTAAAAGAGGGGAAAGGCAGAATTCCTTAAAAAGGAAACAAAAGGCTAGAGAGATGCCCAAGAAAGATGATTATTGAAATAACTCTGAGCATGTTTTCAAACACCCATCAGTGCAATTTACCTCAATTCCCAGTTTCCATATTTAAATGTCTGACCAGTCATTCAGTTCCAATACCGACATGGTATTTGAGGGCCACTTTGTAATGGTTTTAGCCTGGTTCCGATTATTTGCTATCCAGGGGGAGAACGCACATTCTGCGCGAAAGCAAATAGAAAACATATCTGAACACAAATCAAAAGAATGATTACCACACTCGACGCTCCATACCCATTACTGGGTCCCCAAGGCTCTCGTTCTGTTTGTCTTGGCACTTTTTCTTTAGCTGCCTTTGGTTGGGCTGGGTGGGATAAAACAACAGTCACCACCACCCACAAAACCCTCAGCAGGAAAGAGGGCAGTGGAAATAGGGAACCTAAAAAGTCCGGACATCTTTTAAGGGCTCGGTGCTCTGAATTCCATAGTGGGGGGAGCTGGCCTGTGGTGTCTGGGGCATTCCATGGAGGTCTTCGCTGAAGGACTGTCAGGAAGTGAATGCCTGGCTGTCTGTGGGACGGGGAGCACTGCTGCTCTCATTTCAATCCCTAGCAAGCTCCCACTCAGTGGGTAATGAAAAATGGCATTTGCACAAAGTGAAGAGAAAAAGGCTTGTTTCTATAACACATTATGCTCTGCACTGCTCAAGAGACAACATTTCATATCCCATAAAAAGAATTATCTATATAACTTACTGTGCATGGCAGAAAAGTTGCCATGCGTCTTTAAAAGAGCTGTCTGCACAGGGAAAGACATACTTTGTCTCTCCTGCTCCCCACTGACAGAATAGCCTGTGTTTATAAGAAAATCCACTCAACCCCTTAATGATGACCTAGAATAAACATAGGATGTGCACTAGCTTTCAAGCTCTCCTGTGTTTAGGCATGAATTGTTCATTTCTATGCCTTTTGTATCCAGTCTGAAGGAAAGACAAATGATACAAGGGATGATTTACATTATCAATGGAGGCAGAGGTTATGCCTGTGTTTATCTGATCCTCTTTTATTGTATAACAAACGGTGAGATAACCAGCCTGCTGCACAATGACCATTCAGTTTAAGCTATCCACCCACCTCATTTCCATGTTGACTTGAATTTTAAAATGTATTAAAAATACAAGCCCTTGAATTGCTTGACTCCCTGGGTTCAGGCAGGCCAGTAGGAAAAGGAAGCGTTTCTCCCTTCTGTCAAGTTTCCTCTTCATCCAGACTGCCAGGTCGAATGCGTTCTGGAAATTTGAGATAAATTCATTTTGCATCAGAAAAAAAAAAGTAGTGTGCTTGAGATTGGAGGAGAGATTAACTTGCTTTCCCTTTCATTAAATTAATCTCAGTTATCAGTCTGATCTGGAATTTCATGGGTCTACAGGAAAATCCATTCCATATTTGAACATGATGCCCCCATTCTGAATTAGAGTCGTATCTATCTTCTTTGGAATAAACTACTAATTCTTATATTGTCGGAACTGATTTCAGGGAGAGGAAATGCTGCTTGGGCATCATGGATCTGTCTAGTCTTGGATGAGACAAGTACAAGTTGCCCGGACCCCAGCTTCAGAGGTCATTATGGTGCTTGTAGAGCTGGGGCATGGTAAAGACACTGGGGAGAGAAGATTAGCTCATGAACATGTGGCAATAGAAGATGTAAGAAATAAGATGATTCCATATAGCGACCATCAAACCCTTTTCTGAATAGACTCAAAGAATTTGAAGTCAAAGTTTCAGTACTGGGTCAGATAACAGAAACATACTCTATCTGGTTGTTCTGATTGACTACAGTTATAAAACCTAGACAGAATGGATGAGAGTAATAGCAAGTAAATTAATGGAGAGTTTGGATTAGCACTGAATTGGTGGTAAGTTTACCATTTTCCTTTCTACTATTCTCCATATGAACTCAATACCCACAAACTAGAAACAGGCTTCAGGGAACGCACAGAGCTCTAAAACTGGTTCAAGGCATGGGAAAAAGAGACTCCTCAGAATAAATGTGAAGGCTATTTTTGCTTCTTTGTTTTTGAGGAGTTACACCTGGCTATGTTCAGTGATTGCTCCTGGTTTAGCACTAAGGAATTACTCCCAGCAGGGCTTGGTGAACTATATGGGATGTCAGGGGTTGAACCTGGGTCAGCTGCGTGCAAGGCAAGCACCTTACCCGCTGTACTATATAGCTCCAGTCCCCAAATGCAAAAGTATACCATATTTTTTCTGCCCCTTTCTCTTTCTGTTTTTTCTTCTCCCTTTCATCTCAGTCCCTGAGAAATCCCTTAATGGCAGCAATGGGAACAAGAAAAACAACAAAGAGGAGAAATCAATGATATTTAAAGAGAAAAAAAATAGAGAAAAATAAAAGAAGTCAAAAGTCAGTTATTTGCAAATACTAAAATGGACATATCTAGCAAGATGAAGTGAGAGAAAGAGAGTACACAAATTAATAATATTGAAAATGAGAGAAAAATATTGCTATAGATAACACAGACAATTAAAAAAAGCCACCAGGGAATGCAATAAACAACTCTGTGCACATAAATCTAACAAGTTAGAAGAGCTAAATTTGTTTTATTTTTGTTTTGTAATTCCAGAGATTGGATCCAGGCAATCACCAGTATAAGGCATGCACTTGACTACTGAGCAACGTCTTCAAACCCTAACTGATATTTTCTTGAAAAGTCTAAACTACCAAAACTTGCCAAGATATAATAGATACCTGTGAATGGTTCAATGACTAAGAAATTGGATTTGCAGTTTAGTCTCTTGAAGAAAAAAACCTCAAAGTTCATGAGTTAATACTCCAACATTTAAAGAAATCGAACCAATTCTATATAGTTTTTTTCCGGAAAAAGAAAGTGGATGGAATAATTTCCATTCTCATCTCATAAAACCTGTATTAACCTGATAACAAATAGTTCTACTGGTTCATTGAGTTTAGCTCTTTATCTTAGTAACTAATTTATCCCCTCCCCCCCATCCACTTCTAATTTTGTTATTGTTGTGCTGACCAGGTGCTGTGCTCACATACTTGGTTGCTGTGCTAGCTAGGGGGTGCATACTTCTTTGGGACACCAGCACACATGGGGATGTGCTAGAGATGGCATGCTTTGTTGTGGCACTGTAGTGTTGCTGAGATAGACCTAGAGCATGTGTGGTGATGCTGAGGATCAAACTATAGCCTCACACTTTCAAAGTAGGCACTTTGCTTCTGAGTTACCCAGGGCCCCTTTAGCTTTTACTTTATTATTTCCTTTTTCTCTATTTGCTTTGGGTTTATATTGTGCATCTCTTTCTGGTTTCTTAAAATAAGAGCTAGTGTATTGATTTTAATTCTCTTTCTCTAGCATTATTTAATGTTTCAAGTAAGCATTTAATGCTATACGTTTTCCTCTAACTACTACTATAATCCGAATCTCACAAAGATAATGAAAGAAAATGACAATTTAAATTACCCTCATGAAAAGAGACACCAAAAACTCCAGCAAAATGTTAGTAAGTCAA